GGGTTCTAATATCACAGATAGAGAGTTTGAATATAAGCCCTTGATATTTATTTCATGTAAAAAAATTACATTACAAATTTTTATGATATCGGCTAAAAAAAGCTCTATTGGCTAAAGCTCTATTGGTTCCTACATTCCCATATTTTGGCATATGGGTATTTCCATACGTCGCATACGTGACAGTCGTACGCTTCAATGAGATCTATATTTAACCGAAAAATGAAAACAATCGAACAACATGGTCCTTAAATTTAAACAAGTAAAGAGAGTGTCACTACGTGACCAAAAAATGGAAGTTGATTTTTGCGTTTCTTACAAAATCGCAAAACACCGCGAATTGTGGATGGCTCTTTTCATGAAACTTGTTTTAATATGATTTGGAGGAATTCTAGTTGTTTTTAGAGTTTTCAGAATTAATGCAACTTATTTCAATTGCACTTAAATGAATTTTTAACGCAAATAAACCTTGCAGTTTATGTCGAATATACCATACAGCTTGACTTTAGCGCCAATTCAGGACAAATTTTTTGGAAATCTATGATTTATTATGTTTCAACTACATACATACCACCGAACCAATCGGGCAATGGGTTTTCGAAATATCTCAATCTTGGCGCCACCTAGCAAACCATTTTACGCAAAAGTGTTTCTACTTATATAGCCAGTATATATTTAAAGAAGCAGACAAATTGGCCCATAAATACGTTAGATATATAACTTTTATTTTTTTTTTGTCGCGGTAGAGCTTCCGATGGAAACACCCATATGTGCGCTTTTATTAGAAAAATAAATATTTCGGTACCAAAGAACGTAGATAACAAGAAGGGACAACTCGTTATAATTGTGGCGAAAGAGCGCAACAGGGGCGTGCCTTCTCTTTTCATGAAATCAAAAAACGTACTAGGTCAAAAGAGAAGGCACGCCCCTGTTGCGCACTTTCGCCACAATTATAACGAGTTGTCCCTTCTTGGGAATATGAATTGTCAAGTCGGGAATGCTCTATTTATTGGTCCGATTTCGACCGATAGTGAATTATTTTAATCGAAAGTCCATTTCAGATAAAAGTTTCCGTCACTTTCGTCCTCAAAATCTGACTTGGTTTTTATTTAATTTTCACTCATTTAAGGAGTCCAGGACGATTTAAAGTTCGAAGGTCATTTAGCGGCTGAAAAAGGTACTTCCGAGAAAAAAGTTTTAAACACGTAAGTATTTTTATCCTAACAATCCGAATCTGTAGTGAAAACATGTAAGTATGTCTAATTAAAAAAACCGGAAGTCGGTAGTTCCACCAGAAGATAGAACATCCCTGATTTGGTTGCCATGGAAGATCGACCTATCCCGGCAGCTAGCGCGAAAACGCTCTATCTCAAAAAACTGTTTAAGAACCCCCTATTTCAGAATTCGTTTCTAAAACGCCCTGTATCAGCACATTTTCACTACATTTTGACGTGAGATAGGGCGTTCTCAAACAAATTCTGAGATAGGGTGTTTTTCAATAAAATTCTGAAATAGGGCGTTCTTGAAAAGTTGTTTCAGATAGGGCTGTCAAAATAGGTCGATCTTCCACTCAGCAGCCGATATACATAAGGTTGGTATGAGTGTCAGATTTTGTACTTGATTTCACGATAAATATGGTGTCATAACTTTATGTAATAATTGTAAATTTGCGCCTAAATTAAATGACTCATAAGTTAATTTCGGCGATATTGAATTTTTTTCACTGACCATTTTTATAAGGCAAAATTAAGCAGGAGCCCGAAATCAAGTCATATATGTACACAACGGTGTCGTAAGTGTCGTATTGTTGTATATCGAAAACTTCAAAAACTTACATAAATGGTCAAGAAGACTTAAAACTACAACTAACTATTTGTTAAGACTATGAAAATTCATAATATGACTTTTTTGGTGCCTTGCGAAACCCCTTAGCATAGTTTTAGCCGTTAAAAGTTTACCACATACAATAATAGGACACTTACGACACCGTTTTCAGAATAAAACCATTTTTCTTTTCCCTTTTCCGTCTCGATGTTCTGTGGATAATCCAGAAACGAGCAAATATCGAGCTTATCTTAGAAAATAAGAGAATGCTAAAATCAAAGTAGTGATATTTTTGACTAAACGAATGAACTTTGAAACAATAAGTCAATAATAAACATGTTTGAAAATATATTTAAAGCATATTAAATATTTATTTATTGCCTAAAGCGTCTTTTAGAACTTATTATTACAATTTTTTCTTAAAAGAATTTAATTCCAGCTTGTTTTACGAAGAATAAGGTACATGTACATACGTAAGTATGCATTACTCCGAATAGTTGACTATTTACTAAATTAAGTTTGAGACTAACCTGAATTTAGGTACATTCGTTTTTTTATGTATAATGATTATGTAAAGTACATATGTATGTATATCCAATTCTATCCCACTAAAACAATAATGATTTTTATCGTTTTTTCTCATTATTAGTAATCGTTGTTATTTTCCAAACATTAAATTACGTTTTTTGTATTAAATATTTGAAGCATCGTTGTTATTAATAAAGTGTATTCAATAATAATATTCTAAAGCGTTCATGCTGAACTTTAAATGCTCATTTAGCAATTTCGAACATTGATTTTTCGAAGCGTGTTCATACTGCCGCATTCAACAAATGTACATTTTTAATAAAAAGTCGAGTTCCGGCCGTTTATTCAGCTCGGTATCTATCCGATAAATTCGGACGGGGAAGAAAACTGCCCAAAAAGGGGAAAAAATGTTGAACAAATAATTTAATTTATTATGTATTTATAAATTGCACTTTGTGTCCATGACCCCAAATTTGTTTGTGTATGTATTCATTTGTCCATGCTACCAATTAAAATTGGCTAAATTAATGATAAAACAAACCAAACACAAATTGAGCCAGATTTGCTTGAATAATATAAAAGTAGGTTTACATATAAATATAATCTCAATCAAAGCCCGTTTTTTAATCACCCCGCTTACACAGGCAAATCTCAGATTATTAGCTGTCAAATTCGTTGTGCTCATTCTCAAGGAAAAGTTAAGTCCCTTCTCTGTGGCACCGTGCCCACTTTTTTCTGCTATATTAAGCAATTTCAATATATTTTAACTTAATATTCGTTTAAAAATACCTTAACAAACCTCTTTTCCTTGCTAGCGTCCATTTTTGTTTACTTCTACATTTGTCATTATTCCTGTTCTTCGCAAAATAATCAATAAAACTAGGTTGGACAACGAAAAGTTATTGATTTAATCTTAGATTATTTTATAATTGCAGATTAGCGAGGGACGAATTTTGTATGGTTAATCTCATTTCATAATTACTCGAAAATCAGGATATTCTACTTATATGTAAACCTAAAGTAATAATGAAGTATCAATCAACGATGACCGAAAGGCAACTAGATAATCGTCTGTTAGTAACTCTGTATGTACAGTGGCGAAAATACATATAAATAGGGACCATGTAAGTCCGAGTTTCAAACTTTGTACAAAAATTGGACAGAGTTTAAACAAAATTTCCAACTTCTTAATTAGATCTCTTAGAAACCTCTTGAGTATAGAGTTTTGTAGCGTATTAAATTTTAGTGTAGCAAATGCAAGGTTTAAGTACCAGGACTTACCATTGATTTCTGGAAATTTTTTTTTATGGTGTTGCTCATTTTCTACATACAAAAATATTGTCGAAGATACTTTTGTAAAAAAATGCGTAACACCGTCAATAAACTTGCACTTTATTATGTATACTACTATCGAATGGGCATACCTAGAATTATTTTAAAAATTTTGAATAAAAACTGTGAGATTTTGATGAATAAATATTCGTTGAAATTTGTCGATTTTTCATAAACCTTGTAAAAAGATAGCCATTTTGAACTACATGATTTTGATAAGATAGTGAGCTTTATATAAAAAAATAATAAATATTAAGCAAACAAAAGAAAAATAGGAGAACTTGTTAAAATGTCGCGTCCTTATTTTATATTGCCATTTTCATTATTTTATATTTTCAGCAATGATTCCACTTTTTTCATTAAGTATCATTTAGTTGCATTTTTTTGCACTTAGGTAGAGAACTTTTGTATTGGTAAATGTACATTTAGAGCTAAATGAACATTTATCTTTCAGCATAAACGTCCTATTATACTCAACTGCATAGAAATGCACATTCTGCCTTTTAGGTAAAATATAAATTATTGAGTAATTTGAATTTTTTTTTAGAGTTGAAACAAGTTAAATTGCCTATTATTACTAATTTTTAACAGGGGCTAACGGTTTAACAGTTATTTTCAATTTATTATTGCATAACCCCTGGGAATTTTTTCTATTCTCAAAAATAAATAAATATCTTTTATTTATCTTTACATTTACTCTTTAGGTATGTATGTATATATCTAAGGACTTTTGAGAAAATAATTTATTACTTTCTACAGGCGAATAATATTTTTTTTAACCGCGAGACTCACATCTACATATCTTAACATAGAAATTTTTCTTCGAAAGACCAGTAGGAGGTCCACACACAACAACTACTAAAGCGAAGTAAGTAAATTATTTAGCCAAAAGTCCACTGATATGTAATTTTAGAATCGATTTCCCATTTTGTTGATCACATTTATTTTATTGCACATAATCGTTGAAGTGTGAAAAATCCACTCTTATGTTTCATATCACTTGCCAGTTTCACGAGGACTACAAACACTATGATCCCGCAAATTTGTTCTTGCCGAAGTGGCACTATCAAACTCTTTGATGAACAGCCTATGTTCCAACTACATTTCTCTGAAGTTTTCCAACAACTCTTCGGTGCTTAATAACGGTGTGTTAGCTTTCGAAACTGCGGTTGGTGTTGCTGATTCTAGTGGTGATATATTTTTAGCTATAAAGCGTTGAAACAGCTCACTGCTGGTACGTTCGAAATGGCCATCTTCATCGAATAGTGCTTTCGTAAAGAATTCAGCGAAAAGTCGGCCCATATATTGTTCTTTTAGTGATGGCCACCAACCTTCGAGGAAGCCAATATGTCCTCCACGTGCGGTCACAACGATTGCCACGTGAGTACTCTCTTCGGCGGCTTTGATAGGAATGGCTAATTTGAGTTACCAAGAAAAGACAAAAATTAATGGAAATCGTATTAATATAATTCAAAGTTTCTGTATTAGATATTATTTTGTTCAAGCATAGTAAAATTTTTTATACATATATATTCGGCTAAAAATATATAATTTTTATATTTTTGCCTCAGCTGCATTCTTTAATTGTTATTTTACAAGTTCAACTTTTACAACTTCTACTTTTTTCCAATCTCGTATGTATTTTGATTGTCGCTTTTTTGAAAACTTCCCTATAATACTATGTTGCGACATGCCTCAAATCTCTTTTCTATCAAATTTTTTATCTAGCGGGCGTGTTTTTAGTTACTTTAATTTTACTTATTCAGCGAATCTGGTTCAACCCACACATGCGCGCTTAAATATTGACTGCGCAATTTAACAATCGAGTTATTGTATGATAAATTGAGATCAATTAAGAGCTTAATTGTTCAATATTCTTAATTACGTATTTAAAGCGCATGACTTAAAATAGTAAATAAGTACGGTTTCCCACGTTCCGGTCGCCGGTTAACCGACAGCCGGTCGCAAAAGTAAAGTGTATACGAGTTTTTATAGATACAGTCTATAAACCGCTCGATTGCTCGATTACATCCTTTCCGCTGTAGATTTATATTGCTTCAAATGCAAGCAAAGCGCTCCGGCTGCAATATTTGAGTTCGTGCTTTATTTCATAATAGAATAGAATAGTATGTAAATAAGAAAATTTTTAAACTACAATTCATATTGAACTGAAACGGCTGGTATGCAACAATGCAACACAAAAAACTTGTGAAACGACTGGAACTTGTGAAACGGCTTTAACAATCGTTATATTTGATTATTAAATCGACCATATTTGGTATTATTCCACCATATTTTCCGCCAATTTGTCTTGTGCCGGCGCACAGTGGTATTTCGGTGGAAAAAAATTGTATTGGTGATGATCTGATTTTGTCGTTTTCTATGCTTATTGCTAATAATACACCTTTGGGTGATCCGGTTTTACAAGATTTGGCAGCGAATATAATTTCAAGTATGAAAACTGAGCCAGTAAAGTTATGGGATTGAATACCTACATAAACAAATTTTAATTTACATACTTGTTTCAAGTGTCTGAAACGAAGATCACTCTAACAGAACATTTTATCATAAATAAGAAGCATATGTCTAATTAATAAAAACATCCTTACACAACTACTAATATTTGTGGTTGAAGGATACACTGTGACCACAATAGAAAATTTAAGGTGCCCTTGACAGCCTAGACATAAAGCGCTCACAATGTCTTGCCGATTAGTTCCACTTGTTTGTTTTGAACTCTGAAGCAAAAAGTCCGAATATTTGCTTTGATTGAAAGACTGAAAGACTGGTAGTGTAGGGTCATCTTATATTTCTAAAACATATGCTAATAATGCATCAAATCTAATCAAACTTGGGGGTTTAACCCATATATCAAATAAAGTCTTATTTGATATTTGTAGAGCCATCTCCATTTAAGCACGAATATTTTTAAAGTGCGCCAACATGCGCAAGGTTTTTCCTTCCATTTGTATAACTGATACACCCAGTTTTAAGCCAAATGTAATTCCAAACTTGAATAACGCTGTATATCTATTTAGAATTAATCTTGTTTTCATAACAACAAAAATATTTCATGAGGTGATTAAATACTCACTTATCTGAAGTTATTGAGAACAAACGACAACGCTTATCAGAGAAAATTATGAAGTGGTTTGTTAATATTTGGTCACAAATCACTTGGATGCCTCAAAAAATCACGTGGATAACAACTGAAATGCCCAAAAAGTAAATTCAATTGTACTAAGCATGATAAAAACATTACAAGGTAAATTCATTCTCTCATTTCGTCGGCCATAATTTTTTTCTGACGTTTGCCAACATTTTAAAATCATATAAAATTGAAAATAAAAAAAATTAATTGTTCACAATTGTTGTTGTTTGAGATTGAAAATGAGAATGTGTGTGTGAGTTTGAGTTTTGATTTTAAAATTATATTGTTGGCAAACGTCAGACTGCCACTCAATGGTTTTACCTCGTTATGTTTTTATCATGGTACTAAGAATTGTTATTAATTTTTTTTTCTTCTAATGAAAATATTTGAAATATTTCATCGCAAATACATATATCAACTGTTATCTTTTATTTTGTTTTGTGTTCATTTTCATAAAAGTGGGTTACTTTTTTATCACATATGTAAAAATAATAGAATTCGGGGCATTTTTTTTTTTAGTACTTTTGTCCAACTAGATTGTTCAAATATCGCACAGTGGCTTGGTGGCCAAATTCGAGACAATCTGGTATCTTTTAGGGTTGGCCATAAATGAGCTTAAAAGACCCTTGCCCGCGGGCAGGCCAGTGCCCATCACTGCTGCAAAGTGTCTTAAAACTATTCTGGTATATGTAGTATGAGTACTTAAACCGTTATGAATGACTAAAATTTTAAATTCTAACTTTCGATTACTGTGCCAGAGAAAATGCATAATATTTTATGTAAAATTATTTAACTTTTGATTAAAAAGTCAAAGCTTTAACCCTTTCTGAAAAAACTGTGGAGCATAAATAATCCTCTTGGAGTTTGACTACACTGAGAAAAGCGTTTAGTAATGTCAACTAAATACCATGTTTCTCTCAACACATGATTTGGTTATACTTAGTTACCATGGCTATGTGTAGAGAGAAATATATTTAACTGACTTTTTCTGTGTTTACCAGTGAGTGAGTTCAATGGAATATTTGCCAAAAAAGCTGCAACTAACTTTAGAACAGCTTCCATCAAAAACCTGAAAAAAAATAAAAAAAAGTGATTTTTTTTTTTGTTTAATCTCACCGTCTAATGGTTGGAATGGATCATCGGCGGCACTGAGACACAACAAAGGCACCGATATGTAATGTAGTTTGTTGTGTAACGTTGCGTCGCTATAATAATCGTCAACATGCGCATAGCCAAACTGTTTAGAGGTGAAGTGTGCGTCAAATTCCTTTATTGTTTTAGACTGAAAAATAAATCAATTATATGTATGTATGTAAGTACATCGTCAACTAAGGATAAAACGGTGCCAAGTCCATTTTTTTGAAATTGTTCAGGAAAGACGAAAAATTTATGTAGTTTCGTATTACCTGTCATTCTGCACCAAAAACTAAATTTTGAATAAAAATGGACTTGGCACCTTTTTACATTTCAGTAGCGAATATGTATGTAAGTATGTATGTTTAATAAATATGAGCACTAAACTGGAATGCGAAAAGCTGTAATCCCACTCTATGGGTTGCAAGTTTAAAGGCGAAATTAGTCACATATCAAATTTGCGAGAGCGAGAAGCAACGGCACCGTCACCGTCATGCGGTGGTGAGTTTTCATTAACACGCAAATCCCATAAGGTAGATCGTGTCAGCGTCAACGTACGTTTACGCTACGTAGTTGACTAATTTCGCCTTAAGTTATAAAAAAGTTTCGTAATAAGGCCCATAAAGTGGTTACTATACTGAGGAAAAATTCTAACCTTTCGGGAAGAAAAACAGCTCAGCTAGCGGATTTTTAACCGGCTTTCAAAAAAGGAGGAGGAACTGATCGTCGGAATATTTTTTTTTTATGTATGTTACCGCATAACTTTGGACCACGTCAACCGATAATTCTTTTTGCATCGGAAATCTCAGAGATGGTCCCATACTAATCTGGTTAAGATCCGATCAGTGGATCATGAGATATATATATATATTTTTTTTTATATGAGAGTTGAAGTCGGTTTTTTTTTGCTAAAAATTACTTGTTCTGAGTCATTTGTGCGAAGAGTGAAAGGAGAGGCGGGGCTGAAGACCTAGAAAGTTCAGAAAGTGCCGAACCGGAATGCTTAAAAGAACTTAATTGAAGGCAACTATGTAGCAGATTGCGGCACAGTGTTTATAGTATTTCCTATACCGTCGCTAGACACGAGTAAAGGTGTGTTAGTGTTTTGACGTGGAAAAAGTAGGCGTGAAAAAATTGATGATAAAATACGCGTAACAAAGTTAGATTCATACTTGGCCAAGGAGTGTCACTTCAGCAACATTCCTCAAAAACCCCTTGGGGAATTTACATACTGTTACACCCGCAACAATGGTCGACCACGAAAATGAGTTTACGCGTCTTTCTTCGCTTAAGTTTTTTATGCGTCTTATTTCGCGGTCAACTTTTTGTGTTTCAAGCGGTTCTAAGCACAGATATCTTAGAATCAAATTAAAACAGTTTTTTTTTTAAATAATGAGATCCATCTTAAGTTTGTTTGTAGCACAGATTATATAATATCAGTTCGGTCTTCCATATCTAGATTACTTCATATCGATGGCTGAGTGGAAGATCGACCTATCTCGGCAGCCAGTTCGAAAACGCCCTATCTCAGAAAATTTTTCAATAACGCTTTATCTTAGAAAACTTTTCAAGAACGCCCTACTTCAGATTTTGATTGGAAAACACCCTACCTGAGAATTGGGTTGAATAACGCCCTATCTCAGCTGCCGATTCAGAAACGCCCTATATCAGCTTATTTTCAATGTATTTTCGTTTGAGATAGGGCGTTTTTGAACCGAGTTCTGAGATAGGATGTTCTTCAACAAAATTCTGAGATAGAGTGTTTTTCAATAAAATTCTGAAATAGATTGTTTTTCAATAAAAATTCTGAAGTAGGGCGTTCTTTAAAAGTTTTCTGAGATAGGGCGTTTTCGAACTGGGTGCCGAGATAGGTCGATCTTCCACTCAGCCATCGAAATATTATTACATTGGTATACATATGGGAAGGAAAATACTCCGATTTATTGTTTTAATATTATCAAAGTGGCAAGGCCGTTGATAACACTCACAACTTATGTAACTTCAAAAAATTGTATTATCCGTCAAAAGTTGTTTATTGAAACTACCTTCTTTTTTGTATCATGGTAAAAACTACATTGAGTACTTGCGTCGGGAATTTAATGTTCGGCTCCTGCTGGTTTAAATATGTATGTGTTTTTGCATGGGAAGTAGTATTTGTGGTGGAGCTCTAATGCCTACTTAAAAATTAGTATAACTCAAATACACACTTTTTCCTTCCCCACTTACCGACATTATACGATCCAAATCAATATCCTGATCCTTGTAAATCTTACAGTTGTCGAGAGTGCGACAAAGGCTATAGGTCAAGTGACGACCCAATAAACTATTTAATATAGGCTTCTCTATACTAATAGTTCCTGAAACAAAAGTTTTAAGGCATATAATCAATTTACCACATTAAAAAAAAAAAACAACTTCAAATACATACATACCTTTATGAACATCCCAAGGAGCCGAAATGATTTTTGCAGCCGTTAAACAAGAGTGCGCCTCCTCACTTTTACGTACCAGGTAATTGCCTAGAAAAATATACAGTCTATATACAAAGCCTGCAATGAACTATGTAAATAAGAATAAGGATTACCTAAAATCAAGCCACCCATTGAAATTCCAGTAGCGCCTAACTTACAATGCGCGGGAATAATTTTGCGCACATGATGTACAATTTCCGAGAGGTCTTCACAATTAGAGGCGCAATAAAGACGCGGGGTTTTGAGTTCAATGCCACCTAAGCCACGGTTGTTGAATACGACTACACGCATGCCTGCACCATTGGCCGCCATGACAAGGCATTTGATGTATTCTGCTTGGGATTCTCCTGTCAGACCCGGTAGGATAATAATGCAGGGCGCATTAGCATGACAACCTCTATCCAACCAATCCAAAGCGACTTCACCACCATCTTTTAGTGGGAAAATTTCTCTAATTTTTTTATATTATCGTTAATTACATATGGGTATATGATATTTCAAAGCTATGTCGAAGTGCACTACCTTCTATAATTTATGTTGGGTATAATTTGCGATCGTAGTAAGCTCGCAAAAATCGTTTGTGCTCTACTCTCCACACACCAGAATGTGGGCCAAAATTTCATTTCTAGTGTTGGAATGTTTTGCTGAAGAAACTCTTTGAATGCACCATCCGTGCAGGCAAGTATCGGACGCTGTAAAGAGAGTCCAGATTTCATTTGTAAGTACACGATTTAAACGTTTTATAAGTACTGGAACACTTACCTTAACTACCTCTATAAAGTAGTAGACAACGTAAGCACCGAACGCAAATGCCACTACATGCCAGCGTGGCATATTCGAGAGGTAGTAAAACATAGAGTCGTACATAACGCGTTTGTTCAGTCCTTCGAAACTCTCTGCGAGTGTTGGTCTCAAAATTAGTTTTGCAGAGTGTTCGGATCTAATGAAAATAAAAAAACATTACCAAAAAGCCTTGTTAGCGATAATGTTTTATTTATTAAATTATTCTATTCCATTAAGGTCGCATTGATGTTGAAATGGAATAAAATAAGCTATATGTGAGTTATTATATATTCCGTATTAAAGGTCTGCAAATATACCAGCAGAAATACTCTTCACATGTGTACATGAGTAAATGGAACATAAATTTTAGAGTACTAAAAAAGATAGGAAGAAAAAAAAGAGAACATCATAAATTTGAATAACTGAGCAATGTTACTCAACAGTGCTCTGCTACATAAAACACTGTTCCGCTTTTCCAAAACACTTGAGTATATTGATTGAATTCAGCAGTATTTGAAAACTTCATAGGAAGTATACGAATACTTATGAAGTTTTTTCTTTCAAAATGTTATCATTTAACATAATGTTAAGAAAATTCATAAATTTTATTTTCATTGTCGAATTTGATTCGTTGAAGAAAGGGGGCTTATTTTATTGTTTCGCGCAACTAGCTAACATTTTGCATTGTGTATTATTTGAACTCTCGTTCGTGTGATCCGCAAAAAAATTATCTTAAAGAAGTGAGTAAAATATAAAAGAAAAATGTTTTAATTATAAACGAATATTGATAAAAATAACACAGGTTTACAAAAAAAGTGTATGCATATTAAACCAAACCCTATGTTATTCGACAGGCTGAATGCGAATCCGAGGTCCGTTAGCCTCTATCACGTCAGGTTCGTGGTCAGTTGAACGTCAAGCAGGGAAAAATGCATTGAATAAACCTGAAAATTCATATATGTGGGTTTTAGAACCCTAATCAGAGGTTCGTTAACCTCCATAGTGTCAGGTTCGAGGTCAGTTGAGGGTCAAATAGGACAAAAAATTTATTCAATTAAAATAATGTTTTTTTTTGTTTTAGTTGTCGCTGAATTCGAATATGGGGGTCCCTTGATTCCTGAAGGTTATCTATACGAATTTATCGAACTTCCAGGTTTATTCAATGAATTTTTCCCTACTTGGCCTTCAACTGACCACAAATTGACGTGGTGGAGGCTGACGGGTTTCGGATTCGCATTCAGCGTGTCAAATAACATAGGGATATATAGGTTTGGTTTAATATGCATACACTTTTTTTCTAAACCTGTGTTATTAAGCTAACACCATTAAATTTAGCATCAGCAATGGAAACTGAAACGCCTACCATCCAAAATCCCACCAATGCGCAAATTAAAACAAAAATTTCAAACGGAGAATATAAATTGGTACAAAGGCAAGGTAGAAGCAGGGTGTGGGAGTTTTACGCAGGAATTCAAAATGAAGACGGACAAGAAATCGACAATATAGTGGCATGCAAAAGGTGTAACAGCGTTCTAAAACTCAACGACAAAAGCACGTCAAATTTGTTGAAGCACAAATGCTATCTCATTTCTAGTCCAGATAGAGATAGACATGTAGAAATACAAGTAGATAACGAGTCCAAAAAAAAATGTGTACGCGTTGTAACACAGTGGGCAATTGAGAACTGCAGATCTTTTAAAATTATATCTGATTCGGGACTGCATAAATTCGCATCATTTTTGATCGCAGTTGGTGCAAAATATGGTGAACACGTCAATTTGGAGCATTTGTTGCCTCACCCAACAACACTGTCCCGAAATGTAAAAAAAACTTTATGATAAACATTTTAGTCAGGTAAAAAGGGAACTTAGTGAGGTTAACAACAACGGGTTAGGGATAACCACGGATTTATGGACAGATACCTATCTGAAAAAAAATTATTTAGCCGTGACTGTTCACTTTGTTCGGGATGGTGTATTAAAAAGCAGACTTCTTGGGCTTAAATCAATGGAAGGTGACAAAAGTACTGGTGAGAAAATATTTAAATATATCTAAGCATAGGTGTAAATATAAATATAAATATAAATATAAATATAAACATAAATATAAATATAAATATAAATATAAATATAAATATAAATATAAAAATAAATATAAATACACAAATACAAATAAAAATATAAATATAAATACACAAATACAAGTAAAAATATATGAATTTAATACGTATGTTTAAAAATTTTTTACAGGTATCAACATTAAAATGAAAGTATTGAAAATTATGCAAGACTTCAGTTGCGAACTTAATGACAAAGTTATTATCGTAACTGACAGAGGCACCAATATGGTGTCAGCGTTTTGTTCAAGCAACCATATTTTTTGCATAAACCATTTGTTAAATAATACAGTGGAAAAATCAACGAAAGAAACGCCAGAAGTCTTTGAACTCAGCAAAATATGTACTAAACTCGTTAAATATTTTAAGAAATCAGGAATTAATTCGAAGCTGCATTCTACATTAAAAAGTTTTTCCCCAACTCGTTGGAACACCATATTTTATCTTATGAGTTCAATTGAAAAGAATTGGGGTGATATAACATCAATTCTTCAGCAAAATAACGAAATGCACAGAATCCACAATCTTAATTTGAGTTACTTGAAGGCCATTGTAAAGATTTTGAGTGCATTTGAAGAATCCTCTAAAAAATTAGAGGGTGAAAACTATGCAACAATGCACTGGGTACTAATATATGTTCATCGTTTAAAAAAAAATGTGTACTATTAATAACGAGGACACTGATATCATTAAACGTTTTAAAGAAAAAATTGAGCCACTACTTAAGTGCGATTGTTGAAAAAAATATTAACATTTTGCATAAAATAGCATTTTTCCTTTTTCCACCAACAAACAAATTAAAACAATTCTCTGAAGAAGAAAAAATTATGATAAAAAGTGAACTAAAAACAAGTAAGAAAGCCTAAGTTCGGGCCGAGCCGAACATTAAATACCCGGCGCACGTATTAAATATATGTTTTTCGCCTTACCGAAAGGTACGGCTATATGGTAAGCCGGGGCGTATCAATTTTGAGTAAATTAGAGTCCTTAGATTTCGAAATTTTGAAGTTTCAAGCAGTTCTGAAATTTACCGTTATATGAGAAGCGGCCGTTATTTTAGTCCGATTTCAATAATTTTCAACGGTTTGCTTATATGTGGCAAGCACAATAACCACACCGAGTTTGGTACAAATTGGTAGAACGGTTACTGAGATACATATATGTGATCATAAGTGGGCGGTGCCACGCCCATTTTCCAAAAATTTATCACAAACGTATTTCTTGGTAAAGAGTTGTTGCAAGCATCAATTTTGAATAAATTAGCTTCCATATTTACTGATTTATCGAAGATTTTGTATTTCTCTAAATTACCGTTATATGGGATGTGGGCGTGGTTATCGTCCGATTTTAAAAATTTTAGGCGATTTTGTATGCTGTACGAAGGCCGACAACTGTGCCAAGTTTGGTAGAAATTGGTACAGCGGTTACCAAGATATACACATGTAACCATAAGTGGGCGTGGCTACGCCCATTTTCCAAAAATGTATAATATTATTATTTTTTGTCAAAAAATTATTGCAAATACCAATTTTGAGTGATTTATCTTCAGTAGTTACTAAAATATCGCAGTTTTCGTATTTCTGGAAATTACCGTTATATGGGAAGTGGGCGTGGTTACAGTCCGATTTCGCCCATTTTCAATAGCAACCTACCTTGGATTAAGGCAAACCTACATACCAAATTTCGTTGAGATATCTCAATTTTTGCTCGAGTTATCGTGTACACGGACAGACGGACAGACGGACAGACGGACAGACGGACAGACGGACGGACAGACAGACATGGCTTAATCGATTTCTTTTTTTATCCTGATCATTTATGTATACATTTGTCTATATCTATCTCGATTCGTTTTGGCTGTTACAAACAACCGTTATGTGAACAAAATTAATATACCCTTGTGCACAAGTGCGCTCGGGTATAATAATAATGGGAAAATTTTTAAACAACTCAGCCGAAAGCGACAACATAATCTCTACACATGGAATATCGCTTTCAAATTCAGAACTTCTGTCCGACTTTTTGGAAGAGACCACATTATTAAATAACAGCGACAGAGTTGAAAATGAAGTCCAAAAATACCAGATCATGGAAGTACACTTTAATGATAGTTTTGACGTTCTGCAGTGGTGGAATATGCATAGAATACAGTTACCCATTTTATATAAAGTGAGTTGTCATCTGTTAGGTACCCCTGCAAGTAGCGCTCCATCAGAGCGAATTTTTTCTTTAGCCAGAAATTTAATTTCAGAAAAAAGGAGTACTATCGGGATAAATTCAATAATTGTCGACCAAATCATGTTCTTGAATTATAATATTGGGGAAAATAATATTATCAATGAAGTTGAAAGCTTGATTGAATAGTTGAAGTACAAATAGCCTAAGTTTTTTCTATTTAGAAAAAAGTATGTACATACAACCTTAGTCAATAGTATTAGGCACCCAATAACAACCAAAAAAAGAACTCCAATAGACATACATATATACAATGACTTTTTTCGTTTTCCAAACTGAAGTATGTGTTATTTATTAGTAAATTATTACAATATTAAGAAGTTAATAACAAAATCATAAATATTTGAACAGTCCACACTTTAAATTAATTCAAAGATTAACCGTTATCAAAATTTGAACTTTTTAATCAGTTTATAAAACTTTTAGGGTTCTATACTTGTGGTAAATTGCAGTAAAATACAGTTGTTGCTAGTGGTACAATAAGTACACTTGCAAAAACAATCAGACATTTATCCAAATACAATTATACAAGAATTAACCTATTACTAAAAATCAACACGAATTCTTAGACGCAGCAAATATGGACTTTATTTCACTACAATTGATTGGGGTATAAAACCCTAAAAGTTTTATAAACTGATTCAAAAATTAAAATTTTGATAAGGGTTAATCTACGTCCTTTCGATTAAATTAAATTGTTCAAATATTAATGACTTTGTTATTAATTTCATAATATTTTAATAATTTACTAATAAATAACCCATACTTCACTTTGGAAAACGAAAAAAAAGTAATTGTATATACATATTGGAGTTCCTTTTTGAGTGTTCCTTGGTGCCTAATAGTATATAGTGCTCAGATTCCCGATCGAACGACAGTATTAAATAGTAAATATGATAATACAATGACATAATTACACCAAAAATTTGTTTAATGACATTCACTTTACATATAAAAAAATTTCAAAACCAAATTTGTGTGTGATTCTAGCAATCGATCGAAAGTTGTATTATCTATTTTTAATTTCCTATGAACTATGCATATATAAATAATTTAGTTCCTTAAAGATGTACTTTCCCTTAAAAAACTATAAATAATTAACCTGTCATTACTTATTGAAAATGTATTACTTATCATTTTGTATATGAAAGCAGACACTTTAAATAAATTTATATATATACATAATACTTATATTATCAATAAACTGAATTTTGTTCTAATTATTAAAACGAAACATCTCCTTTTATTTCACCGGAAATATTAGTGCGATTCATGAGACGACGCAATATGACATTTTTGCCGAAATTATTTTTTGCAACATCATTTGTATTTGACTTTTGCTAGTGCGCAACGATCCCTCTTTCTCCCGGTATATCACATGCCGATTCATGTGCATCCTTTCTAGCACAGAATCGTTTTTAGCTGCAACAACAGCAGTTAGTGGACGATATTTATCTTTGTATAGGCGCCCCCCTTTCCAATAACGTAATTTTCCCTTCGAAACTTTGGGTTTGTCTTCATATATCACTCAACCAAATTCCAAAGCTCTACCGCAAATACGCACGCGCTCTTGATATATCGAATTTGTTATTGTCCTATGACCATCCTTGGAAGGTGAAGCAGTTTGGTAAAAAATTACGTTTCTTCTTTAACAGGTCATCCGCAGATAACCCATATGGAATGCTTATTCATCTCATATTTTAAAACGCTCCTTCGAGGTGTTGCTGTGGGATCCCTTTTGTCTCTCGCTCGGCATTGGGCTAGCTGGGTATTAGCCTTGATAATTCCCTACATTGTTTTTCCATGTCTGTTAACATTATGTAGTATTTATTAAACGAAAACTTCCAAAAATACTCAAAAAATACTTGTGAAGGAACATATTTTTTGTGGAAGTTTAGCACCATAGTACTGCTTGTTTATGTTTTTCTTTTTTTCGGAACATATTTTGTTTGAGTACTTTTTTCAGGTATACAGTGCACAAAATTTTCACTTCTCTTCCTTCCATGCCCTCTTTGTTAAAGTATGAGTAGTTTACATATTTGAAAAAAACTTCACAGTGAAGCAAACTGAATTCCGATGCAGACCTTTATTCCGTATATTAGAGGTCAATGTATGTTTTCCATTACTGGGGTAGGGATCCAATTTTCAATGGCCTGAGTTATGTTGACTTTAATGCTTTGAAGATATTTTCGATATAAGTTTGCATTGCAAATGAAAAAAAATTCAAAAAAAATGTTACTCATACGCCTTGTACGAGTACGGCTATGTACGATATGGCGTATGAGTAACATTAATTCCTGCCCCTATTTCACACGAAATATTGTTGAAAATTTTAATTTTACCATTCACAGCTTATTTATTTATCCAAATTTTTTTATATTTTATACAAATAAACAAAAAAAATAAATACAAAACATTTAAGGCTCTGCCACATGCAGCTTTCAGTACTAGGTTATAGTCCTTGTCCCTATGCAGCTAATGAAGTCAACCCGGTGTCAAACCGCTGGTATATTAACAGACGACGTTCGCTGGGTGGTGAGCTTAAATATTACTTAAACCCACCAGCCTGACTAATTATCGGTGCGGACAGATAAAATAAATATAATTGAATTTTTTCTCCCAAATTACGTCAATTTAGGATTTTGAGTAATAATTTATCCAGCGGTACATGTGTAACAATTTACTTTATAACTGGACATAAAGGTTCACTTACACATGGAATATCCCATATTTAAATCTTGCAAGCGAGAATGTCACAGCCTTCAGAACGAAGGAAGTCTATGTCCTATGTTATATATCATTGACTTCTGTGGGCGCATCCTAATATTAAATTTTTTAGTTATCGTATTTATTAAACAAGAACCATTTGTACAATAAGAAATTTCTTCTTTTTTAGCAAAAAAATTCGCATTAAATGAAAAGTAATTACACATAAACTAATACAAAATTTTGTAGTATTTATTGTCCTTAATGCAACAATGGCCTCTGTCAAAATTGGGGAGTGTAAGTATGAACTACACTGAATGTATCTATTCTTAGGGAAAATTTTCATTGTCCCTGTTGTACATACATATATACATACATACATACATAAGTACTTTTTATTTTATTGCACATTATTAAGATTAGCACTTACATTCATGCAAGTGTATCATGAAACACTTAACTACATACTATACTATATACATATGTTCCCATTCTCGATTGCGTGCAAATCTTAACTAAACACAATTTTATTTTGTCTCAGTTCGTTTTGATTGAAATTACCTAATACACAATATAAATTCGATTTTAGCCGGTGTTTGCCTTGAAGTACGTTTTGATTTACACACTTGATTACCTCAACACACAATTCAGTCTGAGTCACATTACTTTTTTAAGATTTGTGATTATTGTACATTAATTCATTTTACATATATTGTTTTTGTTTTTCGTTTTTCCTTTTGTAATTTTGTAGCTTGTTCTTTGTCAATGAATTTCTGTAAATTGCACTATATTTTTCATCGGCCACTACAACTATTAGATAATAAAACGAACAAAAACCCGCCGGGTGTATAACGCAAGCAGACTGTTTTATTGATGGACTGGCTACTAGCGATGTTTGCTGACAAGCAAACCTCTCGCAACTGAACTTGTGGTTTTATCATGGTTTATCTTATTTTTAATTTTCATGTCGAATTTACAACAAACTGACATACAAACTTATGTGCACATATACAGTGCCGAAAAGAAGTATTGGCACAGTGAGTTTTTCGCAATATATGCTAAGTTTTTTATTCTAATTTATTTTCGATAATTGTTTATAAAAATATTGTTCATTCTACACCAGAAAACATAATAATAAAATCTGTAAACTTTGTGCAAAACTCAGGAAAATTCATTACATTTGCACACTAGTTTTCAACTTTTTATTCAGATTTTTTAGAAAAATTCCAAGTATGCAGTTTTATAGCCCATTCAAATTTAGTAAAAAAAAGTGCAAGTTTGAAGTCGCTAGTTGATTTTTGGTAATTTTTTTCACGCAAGTTCTTTAAACAAAGTATATTCGACAATTATTTTTTGTATGGAGAAAATGAGCAACACCTTCCATTAAAAAAATTGCCAAAAGTCAATGCGATTTTCTAGCAACTTTAAGCTTACATTTTGTCATAGTAAAATTGAATTTTTCTAAAAAATCTGAATAAAAAGCTACAAATTAGTGTGCAAATTTAATGAATTTTTCTGAGTTTTGCACAAAGTTTAGAAATGTTATTTTTATGTTGTTTGGTATAAAATGAACTATATTTCTATAAAAAATTATCGAAAATAAATTAGAACAAAAAAACTTGGCATATATTGCGAAAAATTCACTGTGCCAATACTTTTGTTCGTCACTGTATGTACGTTTTCGCTACGCTGTCAACCAACACTTAAAGATTTTCGTATTCTTCAATGGGCCAAAGTACAAAATTATTCTCTTTATTTCATGACATATTCTAGCAAACAACTATGTATATAGATATCAGTATATATTAATATGTAGTTAGTTAGTTATCTTGTCAAGTGCAAAGGCACTCTTGAGCATAGTAATATTATTTTTGAACTTGAACGGGAACGTAATAAGCACACGGAAGAATACACGTTGGCTTGACAATTGTCAAACCCCATCTAGAAATTTGCATATTTATTATTTATTGCAATAAATTCTGCACATATGCACTCAATGTGAAGGCCTTTTAGTTTTTGTTCCATTTTTCTTTTTTGCAGTCCAACAATTGCCCATTCGACAATTGAGTACATAGTTGACGTATTTACGAGTACACTAGTGCGGCTAATGCTAGTGATAAAATTTAGCTGCAGCAACTGTTGTTAACATTTCACCGGACATGTTAAGGTGAATAATTGCTATTTAAATTGAATGCACAAAATTTTGATGATAATCTTTAAAAGCATGAAACCTAATTTAAATCAATGCATCGTTCATGAATACATACATATGTACCAAAATAGATGTACAGTTAGTTATACATCTATGTTAGTTTCTCACAGAAAAATTTTTACACGATATTCAAAATGTCTTTCAATAAACACTCCCAGTCATTTGAATAGCACACCCTTTTAATCATCTGTATGCATAGTTTTCCTTTTGTATGTTTAATATGCATTAATTTTTTTTATAAAAATGTATTCTACGTGTAAATCCGATTTGAAAATTGTATACAAATTTAAGGCCCAAGTCAACAAAGGAGTGTGCTATCCTAATGACCTGCAGTGCATAAGTGAATAACATTTAAAACAAAATTTCGGGAATGCAGTCTTGTAGCCCTTGTACTTTAGTATACAAAAGTGCAAGTTTCAAGTGGTTACAAAATGCCGTTGATTTTTAACAATTTTTTTATGTTGTTGATTTTTAACAGCTGTTACTTGATTTATACTCAGTTTTGTTTGCCATTTCATAATGAACAGACTTACTCCGGCATAACGTTTGCAAATCATGCAAATTTATTACTAAAATAATTGTTCGGTTCGCGCGACGTATCGCGCGCTGCGTCCAATATTCGGTCGACATAATCGGCCAGCAGAGTCGGTAATTCGAGCAACCATGGATCGGTTTCGCACCATGTTTACTCTAGTGGATAATGCGCATCCTCAGAGATGCCGTACAAAGCACACCGAAGATGCTATTGCTGCTGTGGAGCAGAGTACCGAAGAAGACCCGAATGAGTCCATCCGCCTTCGCGCGCAACATTTGAATCAATTGGACAGTGACTTTTTCGTGCTTGAATTGGAGGATGTTGATGTGGACGACCTTTGGTTCCAACAAGACGGCGCTACATGCCATACAGCCAACGCAACAGTCAATTTTTTGAAGGAAACTTTTGGTTAGCTCATTATGTCGTGTTGTGGGCCTGTGGTATGGCCTCCAAGATCGTGCGATTTAACATTGCAGATAAGCCCGAGACGATTGACGTGATTGCTGTCATGCGGCAACAATTTCTGCAAAAAGTGGTCGAATATTGGGCCTCTTGGCTGGAATTTATTGGAGCCAGCCGCGGCGGTCACTTGCCCGAAATCATTTTTAAATCATAATGGCATACCCTTATCTTTATAATAAAGCTAAATGCTTGGCCACAACATTAAACTATATGCGTTTTATTTGTTCTTGAAAACCACATGTCTAAAAAAAAACACCCTTTATAAGGTCCCCGCATGGGATCTTCCGAAACTAGGTGATGTTCCATCAGTTGATTGGGCCTGATTGTCTAAATTTTTAATTTCACCATAGTTAGTGCATACAAAATCGAGTAATTGTTTTTTCTTACCCTTACTTCAGGAAAGAATACCTGAAATTTGACATTTGTGTACCAAAAGCAAAAAAAAATACATCTAATTATTTGTTTTTGTTCTAGTATTGGCTTCGGCCTGCACCGATGTATTGGTAGAGGTAGTAGAATTTTAATAATGTTTAGTGTTAGGCACTTTAGTTCTTTTGAGTGAACCGTTCAGTTGTAGTTCGCTCACCTTAGTAAACTAGTTATTTAGTTCATTCAGTTCATTTAGCTCAATTTATGAATTATCATACTATTATCATACATATTAGATACATACAAAAGAAAATCGTTGGTAATTTGAATTCATATAATACTTTTACAAACGGCGCATACCACGGTAATCGATACCGAATGAAACGAAAATAAACTTAAGAATTTGAGTGTATTATTCATTGAGTAACCGGCCCTAAATATATCCAACTTTCAAGACTGAAAGCCAAAATTTCGAAATCTATCTCAAAATCAGATATTTTTTTACTTGAGGTTGTACCATTTACAAACTCATATGAGAGGTTAATTTTCTACAAAATTGACAAAACTGACTTTCGTAGTCTATTGTCTTTTTTGCATTGCTTAAACGGTCAATGGAGAGAACAATTCGCCAGCATTGTAATAGTGTAATTTTCTAGTTTTTTCGGGCAAGTACCTATTAAATATTTGATTATTTATTGAAGCAAAGCATATTTTAATGTCTCGCCCGTCACAAAATACACAAGATAGTTTTTTTTAAGGAAAACACATCTTGGACAGTGTAAGCAAGCTGAAGAAAGTAATGCTATGGCACAGGCGAATATGTGCGTGCGAATTGCTTGTAAGTATTTATATACCTTTATTTTCGAAAAAAAAACCGATTATGTTGGTCACGTCCGTCACGTGTCACACCCGTCATAATTTAAAGTTGGACAAATTTTAATCTGAAATGTATCATATATCTGTTTGTGATCGCCGATGATTAAGCTAATCATAAAGATATGTTGCTCGAGCGATGGAAAAACTTAAGCTTTGCTGTCACGGATAAAAGGAAACCATTACTTCACTTGTCAGGGCAAAAACAGTATCTCATACTGTTTGACAGGTAACAGCCTCATTAAAAGTGCAGTACTATTTAAAAATGAGGCACTTTACAATGACTTGATCATTGAGATGAACTAGTTCTTTAGTTCATTTAGTTCAAGAACTATCCAAGCCTAGTAATGATGTACCTTATTCATATTAAGTAGGTTGTTATTCATTCCCTATGAAATCCTCACCAAAAATCTTCCATGCGGCAGTTAAGAAAGTTCGATGGTATCCTTTGCCTCTAAGTGGATGTTGAGCTAACGTAACAGCAGCTGAGATTAAAGCTTTGTCTTTGGACTCGATTAATGGTATATATGCAGAAACGGATGATTGTTTCGATGACTTTTGCTACCGTATGTATTGGGTTTTTTTTACTTCATTGCCACCAGATTTGACGCTTTGTTTCAGTCGTTCTACATTTCCGGAAGCGCACAATTTCCCTAGAAGATTTCCCTTAACTGTTAACATAGTGGGTTTTTTTACCCTTATTTTTTATAAGTTTCATATGAGCCCAACTGAAATGGTGGGCGGAGGGTTAAAATGTTCTACAAAGTGATGTAGGTTTTTATCTCTTATCAGTGCAATTTTGATTCCGTTGTTAAATTTTTTAAACATTTTTATGCACACATTTTATGCCAAAGCTCTTCTTTTATCCGAGGAGATTTTTTAGAAAAAAAAAATTTTTTAAACTAATTTTATTTCCAAAAAATGCATTTTTTAGGTATTTTCCAACAGGTCCAACACAGGTAAATCTTATCTAATATTTTTCGGAAATATTTTGGCGAAAGTCTTAAAAAATAATAAATTTTAAAGTTGCGATTGAAAAACAGTACCGATTTTTTTGTATGGAGAGTGATGCACCCTAAGATACATACATTTAAATATCTACTTTGGAAAAAATAACAACTCTGTATATATCTGCATGCTAGAATAAGGCTTTCTGCACATTGGTCATCCAATCATAGTGGCTTCATCGTCACAATCATGACTCACCGATTACATGACGACTACCCTTTCGCACCCTTGGTCGTGATATCTCAATTCATTTGGCGTCTAAAAATTCGTTTAGAGCAGGGACTTCCCGTTTTTTGGTTGATATGCTCGCGACATTTTTAGAAAAACCTGCAATTTTAAAAAAATGAACTGTGCTGCCACAATTCTAGACATAATTTTTAATTAATCTCTATTCTTTTTTTTTCTGAAGTATGTTTTGTGCACGCCCGCAGAGCCTATTTACAATTTTATCATATTTGATAGTTAGAACTCTCATTTATTGACTCTCACTTCCACTATCCACTTTTTAATAATCTCCCCAGATTTTATGCAAGAAATACTCATTTTTGTATAACTTGAATGCAAATATTTACCTTTTCACAAATTTTTCCCATAAAATGTAAACTAACAATGCGTGCATAACGATTAGCAGACGACAGTGTCGTACTTATCCGATTCAGCATCTTCTACGATTGCCGATAACTTGCCGATAACGACACTTGAAATGCATGTGCTCGGCTCGAAATTTCAGGGCGAGACGATAACTCAACCATGATTGGACTACAAGTGTGCAGATAGTTTAAGTTAACAGCCGAAAAATTATGACAATGGTCATCAAAAAATCGATAACATTTACATACATATCTTTTGTGTACATATATGTACATATGTATATAAATAGCTGACGACAAAGAATCAATACCATTTATTTTTGAAACAAAGAAAGGTTTACTCTTAAAATTTATTCAATGCTTTCTACTTTTTGTACTCGTAGATTTTTTACGCGATTTATAAATATATGTATGTTTAAATATTCTAACTGATATGGTGGCACTGCCCTTTTACTTTAACCTCTAAATTGATTAGTACTTATGTAAGTTATGTGTTTTGTTTAATATTTGTTTAATTATTTATACGATTAGGTATTTATGCGAACACATATTAAAAAAAGTTGCACATAAACATACTTATTTTACTTTTTGAAAAAGAAATCACCTTAATTCAACTAAAAATTCGCAATGCACTGAACATAAGAGATCGAAAAAGCGCGAGCCTCTTTCAAATTGCCATTCAGCGTTCCGAGCTCAATAAAAGCCGCAACATTACTGACTAGCGGTTGTTAAAACGATTTTTACCTGCTCTTTTGTCGATTTGTTTATTTCAAAACCTTGCCAAAACTCCCAGCCACGCACTCCCTCACTATGAGCTTATTGTGTTTATTCTCAACCCCTACAAAATTACTAGGCAACTAGTATTTGTACGCATGACTGTATATAGAGGGTGGTCCAGTTATACGTTTAAATCATACACATTTATGGACTTCTCATACAACAACTTATGTGATTTTAAGTATGTAGATCAATTTTGTGTTTAAATATCCAAGACTATTATATACGTCCTTAGTGATATCGATCTGAAACTCGTTGGCAAAATGCTAGTTTTTCAAATGACAGCTAATTTTCAATTAGTACCAAACTGACTCAAGCTCCAACTACTTCTATTGACAGTAAAAATTAAGGCTGTGCCGATAAAATACTATGTAGATCGACATTTTAATTGAGTTGAGGCCAGCTATTTCTAATAGATTTTCGATCGCTAAATACGAATTAGAACTTAGAATTTAAGCTCGGCCTGTTTTCGAGGTTAATTTACATTCATTATACAAAGCGTTTTAGAGAATATCTCTTGTCCTTTCACGTGATATTTAGTTTGCTCGAATATCTTATTTTTTAACAGACACATTTTTTGAAATTTTCAAACTACTTACGGCACACAGTGGTATTTCATACTAGGCTTGAACTAAATGAACTAAAGAACTGGTTCATCTCAATGATCACAATGAACTAGTTCACTAGTTCGGTCTTTTTATTGAACTAAATTTGTCAGTGCACATATTGGATCGTCTAATCAATATCTTAAAAATGGCGTTCTCCATTTTTGGATATCTCCTTTAGTTTCCGGGATATTGAGTATAAAGTGTTGTTAATCTAGTAGAAATGTGGCTGCCAAATTGTGGACAAATGGCGCTTACGATAAAATTTTACTAAAGAAAATCTTTCATAAACTCAAACCTAATTAACAATAAACATTGAAAAGTAAATATTTTAAGAATTTTGTGAACTAGTAACTTTGGAGAAATTCTATCCTCGCGTTTTTGAGAAATTGCATTCCAAACTTCAATTGCGATTTCCACAACCTGCCGAAATTTACATACGACAATCTTTTACCCAGGCGACGAGATGCGAACGATTTTTTTCGGGGCCAGGGAAAGTATTAAACTGTGTTAGAACGCTTTTAAAATCAAACAAGCTTTCTAATTTAATGTTTTTCCACAGCAATATGTACCTGTTTATATATCGTACATACATAGAGTAAAAATTTGCGAAATGGGCCACCATTTTTTCGAAGGTCGAGCTTTTTTGTGTCATTATCTGTTTATGCTTCACAATCATAAAAAAATACAAGTTTCAAGATGTTTCGAAATTCTAAATATTGTGGAAGTTATAGCTACTAACTTTTTTCGAATTTGACTAGATTTTATTTGTTTTCTCTCGATTGGTAATACCGATGCTGCTGAAGAATGATGATGTTTTGTTACCCTTTTTATTTCGCACGAAAACCAGAACACGCCTCTATACTTTATTTTCGGATTTAGGGGCACGAATCGGGGACTAAATATCACTGTGCGGCATGTGAAAGAGCAAGGGATATACTTTAAAGAGCTAGGTATTTTTTTTTTTCAAGTAACAACAACGAATTTTTCGTATTTTTGGGTTAGGATATTAAAAAAAAAAAACTGATATGTGGTAATTCTGAGTTCAAATTGAATTTCAGCGACCAAAAATCTATTAGGAATGGAAAGCTTTATCTCAGATAAGATCAAAACTTGAAAAGGGGGGTTGAGTAGTGTAATCTATATGTGTATGTATGTATGTATGATGCTGAACTTTAAAGTGAGTATCGTCCGATCTAAACAGGTATAAAAATCGTCTAAAACGTTGCTCACAAAATTTATAAATATTTATTAATAAGGCTTATAAGGGATACTTAAGAATCAAATTTTGCTATTTTTTTAAATTTTGAATACATGCATTTGAACCACCCTTTTTAGAATATAGTAAATATTAGTGCACATGGCTCTCAGAGTATTCGTTTAAGCAATACAGCTTATGCTGCTGTTTTCTGATGTAATTCGTATTTCACATGCTGATTTTGTAGCACGTGTGAGTAGATATATTTTATTGTTTGTTTCTTCGACGCTAAATTCTCATTCTGACTAGACATATGTCTCATTCTATATTTGTAAATTTTTAAACGCTACTACAAATGTATATGTGCATAAATATGTACATAGATATGTATGGATGCATATTTCCTGGGTCATGGTCGCTACCTTGTAGGAAAATTCGAAGTTACTGAAAAATGGTTCTTTGTCTTTAGTTTAGTGTTAGTGTCATAACGCCATTTCCACAAAATTTCCAGTTTTAGTCAGGATGTAGGAATGATGTCGCTTTTCGAATAAATACTTGCACATAAATAAAAATTAAGTGTCGAGATAAAATATTTTTATTTTTAAAACAATAAAATCTAAAAACCCAAAGAAATTTTAATTAATAAAGAAACAAAAAGGTAAGTTTCTAAAAATTATCTAATAAATTAAAACATTCTTTAAAAACAATAAAAACTAAGAATTAAATTAAAAATAAAACAACAATTTATAAGTAAAAAATTAAGTAAGTTTCCAAGACTCTAATTAAGTATTATATGTATGTACACTTATGGTCAGCTAATTAATTCAAGTGACATTTTGACTAGTTATGGCTATTTTTCTTTCGTTTGTTTAAGGTATTTCTAAACTGGCGTTACGTGACGCTCGTATGACAAAATGTTAAAAAAAAAAACGAATTGAACAAGTCAAAATTTTAAAAAGGTTTTTCTAAATTTTCATAGCAATTAAATGACCCCTTCTTCAGTAAAAAAAAAAAATAACAACTGTTGGTAGTAGCGATTCAAAGATATTAGTCAACTTACGCGCTGGCGTGACGTTAAAAAAAAAAAAACATTAGTGGATTTTGACTTTGTTTGAAAAAAGGCAAAACCCTGCGAATTGGGCAAGATCATTTGTACAAAAGTTTTTGTATTAATCTTGGAAATGCTTAAGGTTAATTTCCCAAGTTTTGAAATGTAAAAATCTTTTCTGCTTTATGTTTAATCAGCTGAATTATCTGATGTGATGTTGTCTGGCGTTACGTTACTAAAATTTCCATTGAAAAAATTTTGTTAATATTGTTCTTGAAAGAATTTCTAACGGGAAGGAAACATGCATTCTATGTCCAATGTACTTTTTATTTTGACATCAGCGCCACCAGCGGTTTCATTTTTTGCAAATCTACATATCGTCGCCTGGGTAAAAGATTGTCGTATGTTAATTTCGACAGGTTGTGGGAAATCGCGATTGAAGTTTGGAATGCAATTTCTCAAAAACGCGAAGATACATTTTCTCCAAAGTCTCTGAAAATGTTACTAGTTCACAAAATTCTTAAAATATTTAATTTTTAATGTTTATTGTTAATAAGTTTTGAGATTATGAAGGATTTTCTTTAGTAAAATTTTATCGTAAGCGTCATTTGTCCACAATTCGGCAGCCACTTTGTATGAAATACGACAAAATGTGATCAAAATTTATACCAAATTAACGACATTTTTTACTCAATATCTCGGAAATTAAAGGAGATATCCAAAAATGGAGAACGCCATTTTTAAGATATTGATTGGTTTCATACGGCTGCATCACTAACTAAATTTTTACTAAATTATCGAAAAAATTGTAGTCAATATCTCGGAAACTTAAGGATACTTAACTTAAGGAGGACTGATAAACCAATCGAACGACCTTGTTTCAAAATATATAACTGCATCTACAACTAAAAATCGTCAAAATGGCGCTTGCGACAATCTTTTACCCAGGTGACGATATGTCTTATTAAGTTTTAACTAAACATGCCAAATGTGAAACAAATCAGAGCATAAATACGTTTTTCAAAATATCTCGACCTTAGTGCCACCTAACCAGAGCATTTTTGGCAAAAATGATTCTGCATACATAACCAGTAGATATATATTATAACAAGTAATTTTTAGCAAAAAAAAGCCAATTTGAATTCTCATATAATAATATATATATATATCTCACGATCCCCTGATCGGATCCTAACCAGATTAGTATGGGACCACCACTGAAACACTACCTTTCCGATGCAAATTCCGATGAATTATCGAAATCGGTTGACGTGGTCAAAAGTTCGGAGGCACAGTGCTATACCAGCGACGAGTGCCAGAGAGGGATCTAAAAAAGACTTTAGGGAAACGGTTCAATTCCCCTGTGATTACTGTATTCACATGTTGAGCAAATGGCCAGAACAGCTAGCAACGGTAGGTCGGCTAGTTTCCGCGTTGACTCGGGCCACTGCTCAATAAACGAGGAACATGAACTATGCTAAGTCTCTCAAAGCCGCACACTAGGTTTCACACAGGAATACTAACGGGACACTGAACCGAAATACCGGTTTCTGCAGAAGCTATAGAGATGAAGCAGAGATAGAATACTGCTCTCCGCTAATCACAACAATGTCGCTTTGACTTCTTGTTTATCTAACAGGAGATAGCTATGCAGCTTATCGGATCTTGTTTTGCTGGAATCTTTATAGTGCTGCTGTTTGGCATCCTGCACCCACAATCGCATTAAAGATCGATTTTATTATCAAGATGTTGATAGCGCTCGTAAGCTCCTTTACATGACAGCTGTAGTAGACATCGCCCCGCGCATCGCATTTCTAGATAGCGGTAATTCCATTCATAGATTTCCCCGAGAACATCAATCAGCCGGGCAGATGCAACTTGCCAATTAGGGAGTGGCACAAATTAAAGGGCTTCTTCTTTCGCTACCCGTGGAAGGCCTTCCAGAAGGGCTCTTATAGGACTTACTTCAGAAGGTCTTTTAGAGGAGTTCTTTTAAAGTTGCCCCCTAATTTATAAAAATCATACATCTTTGAAGTACTTGCTTAAGGTTTATACCAAAT